GTCCCGCAGTAGAAACTGCAAGAAAGACGACAAAGCCTAGAGTCCCACTCCAGACTTCGACATACCTCCCTCTCAATAAGTCTAATAAGCAACATGCCAGTCTAAAAAAAGACAATGCATGGGTAAAAAACCATATTCCCAAAAAAGTCATCCATCATGTGAATGGGAACACCCCTTCCCGAACTAGGAGTAATATACCTAGCAACGCACATAACTTGGGAATGCAACGTAGAACGGATCATCAGAATATAAGGAGCACTAAACGGGGCTCGTATAGGCACCATATTAATGCATATTCTTCTCCAAACTCTCACACTATCTATGTTGAACCTCAGCAACATAATGAGTATAGATCGACACATGACCCTCTCAATAACTTCACTCACACATGTGATGTGAGCCAATATGCATACGACTATGAAAGACCCATGAGGTACAACTGCCAAGGTAATCTTAACACAGGGTACCTAGGTCAAGCAAACTATATATCACCAGTAAATGAACGCAGATGCCCACCCATGGATGCTAAAAGTCAAAACATGCAACAGGATTATTTTCGGATGCAGCAAACAATAGCCCTGCTCGCTGCACAATTCATCCAGGAAATAGTACACACACTGACTCTGTCTCACCTCAGAGCCCCTCCAAACATAACGTAGGGATAGAAACAAGTAACTATGTTAACCTCTCCTCCAATAACTCTGGTTTACTAACGATTATGCTCCTGAATGCTAGATCTCTCCTTAACAAAATAACATCGCTTCGCTGCCTGGCATACATAGAACGGCCAACACTAATAATGGCGACTGAAACCTGGCTGACTACTGATATACCTGACTCAAAGCTAGTAATAGACAACTACGACATCTATAGGAACGATAGAGTTGACAAAAGAGGAGGCGGCTGCTTAATATATGCCTCTAAATCCACTAACTCCAATACTTTCAATAACCCAACTACTGACAAACTCCCTGAATCTAAGTGGATAAGCATCCACACAAACGAAAATAAAATTCTCGTGGGATGTATATACAGACCCCCTAGTAGCTCTGAAATGACTGATATAGCTATTGGAGAAATACTAGAGCATGCAGCTACGCTGGACTTTGACTACAAAGTAGTTTGTGGCGATTTCAACCTACCTGGAGTAAACTGGGATACCTGTACAGGACCTAGAATCCATGACGAGCTACTACAAGCTATAGACGTAGGCGGATGGAAGCAGTGCGTACGCCTCCCTACAAGAAATGAAAACACTCTTGACTTAATCCTTTGTCATGAAATTGAGCCCATCTCGATAGAGGTAGGAAATAAACTTGATAACAGTGATCACAACATATTGTACTGCACGCTACCATTCCGACTAACAACTAAACACACACCTAAAAATTCCCCGGTGCACTATCAGTATAGGGACTATAAGAATGCCGATTGGGAATTCCTATCAGATCTGCTGAGAAGTTCTGACTGGGAAGAATACTTCATTAACAATAACTTAGAAGTATCACTCGATATTTTCTACAAAACAATTGGCTCAGCAAGAGACATAATCGCGCCCCTAAAATCTGCTCTAAAGACACCAACTCCATTTATAGACCGCAAAACGCGACTAAAACTAAAGAAATTGAAAAGGAAATACCATGTATTTAAGGAATTTAATGCGTGAAACCAAATACATGAAACTCTTAAACGGCTTGAAGAGAAACACAAAATGAGGTCACAACTTGAAGAAAATAAAGCGCTTGTGGGTAACTCCAAAACTCAGGAACTTTGTAGGATATCGCAGAGACGTCTAAAAAGTAGTACAGACAATACTGTCAGCAGCTTGGAGCATAAGGGTATAATACACAATGATCCCCAGGTTATAAGCGAACTCCTCAATGAGTGGTTTTGCAATGACGCCAGAGTGCACCCAACCCCAAATTTCCAAATGACTTGCAAAAGCAACCACAAATTAGGCGGAATAGACTTTAATATACAAAATATAGACTCAGCGATTAAGACTTTGAAGTCTAACGGTAGTACTGGAACAGATGACATACCATCTGTCATGTACAAAAATGGTAGCACGGAAATGGTAGTCTTGTTACTTAGAATATTTACTCTCTCATTAGAAACTGGAACTTATCCTGAAGTGTGGAAAACCACATACATATTACCTAAGCACAAAGCAGGGGCCAAAACCAGTGTATGCAACTATAGACCTATCAATATAACACCGGTAATATCCCGAATAATGGAGAAAGTGGTTAAAGACCAAGTGTCAGACAACTTACTAGAACATGAACTTATCAATCCATCACAACACGGATTTCTCAAAAAGAGATCATGCGTGACCTGTCACATAGACTTTTTCAATGAAGTTACACGAAGTAGGGACAACAGAGAACTAGTAATTGTGCTCTATTTCGATATAACAAAAGCCTTCGACAGAGTTCCCCATAATCTGCTAGTCAGCAGGTTATGCTCACTAGGGATATGTGATCCTCTCCTGAGCTGGATAAAATCATTTCTCTGTGGTCGAAGTCAGACAACGAAAGTTGGCTCCATAATCTCAAGGCCTAAACCAGTAAGTAGTGGTGTAATCCAGGGAAGTGTATTAGGCCCACTCTTGTTCATAATATATATAAACAGTATCTGTGAATGCTTTAGTGTAGGTAAACCAATACTATATGCAGATGACTTAAAAGTGACGTATAAATGCAAGAACACAGATCTTGGAATAACACTAAACGCCATACAGCAAGAATTAGAAAAAATGGATAGATGGTGTGACACCTGGCAACTCCAATTTAATGTCGAAAAATGTGGCTGGCTCTGCATAGGTTGCAACAATTTAGAACTTGACCTGACAATTCAAGGCCATGCACTTCAACGACTGGAATCTGTACTGGACCTAGGGCTGAAATATTCACATAACTTATCATTTTCTGAACACATCTCCAAACAAGTGTCAAAGTCACGCAGACTTATCGGCTTTCTCCTCAGGAACTTCTACAGAAATGAGTCTAGAATTCTGCTGTACAAGGTTTGTGTGCGTCCTTTATTTGATTACTGTTCATTCATGTATAGTAGCATACGCATAGAGGACAAATTGAAAGTCGAGGGAGTGCAGAGGTACTTCACGTTAAAATTACTCGGAACCGGAAATGGTACGAACTACTCCACTAGATGTGATACCCTAGGACTAGAAACACTATGGCTAAGACGCCTGAGACTAAACTTAACACTTTACTATAAGCTTCTAAACCACTTAGTTTTTACCTCTACTAATGGCACTCGACTTTCAGATGACAATGGCTACAAACTAAGACACACTAAGGGTACAGTAGCTATCGAACAATGTAAAACAGCCACCAGGCAAAAGTTTTACTTGATTAGGTATGCACAGATATGGAATAAACTGCCAATGGAAATGCGTCAAGCAAGTACATTGGCCTCCTTCAAAAAGGTGCTTAATGACAAACTACAAGAGTTTGCAAACGATATTAGTTCTAGTTCCTATCTGAGAGCCTCCGAAATTATAGGTCCATTTAATGTATAAGCTTAAATACTACACCTGTTGTTTTTTGCCTATATTTATAATTCTAGATAAAACATTAACGGTTAAGATACGTATCCTCAAACAGACAACAAATCTCGTTTGTAAAACTACTACCCAACACAATAAGTGGAATAAAATGGACATAAACCGACAACATGAAAAAGGTATAACTCACCACAACATCACAAGGACAGATGAACGCTCGTTGGGTACCATATATCCCTCACCAACTGCAACCCACCTTTCCTTAGATAATGTGATGAACTTATACCCATAATGTTGCTGAGCAGTTAATATTCTCAACTCCTGTCGGAACAGCTGAAACTCATAAACCTTCCTAACGCTAAGAAAATACCCGTAATCAGTAGAAATCCATTAATTAATGCGTCCGAAGCTTATGTACTTACTCCCAACAATGACATTGCAGATCAAATGAGATAAACACATCACTGATTTCAAAATAACACATCAATGAACTATAATTCGAGGACTCTGCACACAACAAAGTTATGTATGAATATTTACTTCAAGCTTTATTTTTTTCCCAGGCACTTATAATCCATCCACCAAAGACCTGGTTTTTTTGTTAATGCGAAGACAATACTCCTGTATTTCCTGTTGTGTTGCACTCACTGACAATCTAGCAGATTTTTCCAACTTTGCACAGAAATGATTGTATATAAGTGAAAAGGCTGTTTTATACTACTGGAATTAACATTTATCAAGTGTATGTATAATCTCTATCGAACATGTAAAGCATATCTTGCTACTGGCTGTAAATTGTGATTAAATTATATGGTTCTATTTCTGTAACAATTTGATGATGCCTGTAAACTGACGTCCCTCATGTACTGTACTATGAGAATAAATTTATTTATTTATTATCATTGCTAACTATACTTACTAAACGTATGTGTAATTTATCGATTTGATGATGCCTGTAAACTGGCCTCCCTCATGTACACAAATGAGAATATATTATTAATATTATTAATAATATTTAAAACTCGAGGGAAGTTCCAAGTACAGAGTTTTTGGTTAAAACAAAGTAGTGTACAATATGTTCATTTTTGACACAATAGTAAAATTTGGATAAGTTTATTTTTGAGGACTCCACATACTCCGTACAATTCGCAAACGTTGATACCGCCAGCCTCTAAAGGCCTCATCCCAACTCGTCCCTTGTCACTGCATATTCTCCCATGTCATACTCTTCCAACTACTCTACCTATTTACTCATTTACTTATTGATCATTAAGTTTCATCGCTGTGTACGTTTTGCTTTTTCAGTTTACATTGTCTACACTGACTGTGCATATTATTTTTATTGTTAATACTGTCTTTTTTTCAGACCACAGCGGACGACTAACGTGGGGGGAAGAATTTACTGCATTCACAGCAGCAGCGCAGTCTCAACATGCCATATACTGCTGTAGCGGTAAATAATTCCCCAAAATTATTAACCACAGCAATCATCACTCAACATTGGATGCTGACCATCACTGTTTAAGTCGACTTGTTTAGCTGAAGGCTTACGGTCAAGCATCCCCGCCATTTGGTGCTCCGTCGTGTCACGTGCGTGCACGATTACTAGCTAGCTAAGCATTCATTCCTACCCGCGATTTGGTCCCAAAATATATATCGTATTTGGACGACAAAATCTGGTCTTTTGCTTTACCATTTGGTACTCGAAGAACGAACACTATAGTGGTTGTTGGTATAAGATCTTGCGTTAGTATAATCCGTACAACTCGCGAACGTCGATACCTACAGCCCCCTAAACTGGTGAGCCCAACCACGAACTACATCTTCAATTCACACGCAGATAAACCCGGTGAGTTCGTTCCTTTTTGTGTTTATTCTTGTACTATATTGTTATCGGCATACTTTTCGTCATGAGTGATCCTAGCCCCAAGGTTATTCAGATTCGCTCAACCGCCAAAACAATTCAGCTAGTACCATTTTGGCCAGATAATGCTGAAACGTGGTTTCAGATTGCTGAGTCCGATTTTTGTGAACATGGCATAACTGATCAACGTTCACAGTTCCTTGCAGTTATTCACGCCCTACCGCGGGAATTCAGCAAGTGCGTAACTCTGCAGATGTCGGTAAGTAACTCGTACGAGTTGCTAAAAGCATCCATCCTCAAGAGAAACGTTCTCACAGATCGGCAACGTCTGGATGAGTTATTTCGTAACATCGAGTTAGGAGATCAGTCAGCCGTGAGCATGCTGGCAAGAATGAAAGAGATCATTGGCCAAAGTCAGTTCGATGAAGGACTGTTTAGAGAACTATTTTTATCCAAACTGCCACAGTCAGTTCAGACTGTACTTGTGACACTTCAAGGTGTTCTCATAGATGACTTAGCTGTCTCTGCAGATAGAATTCTAGAGATAACGAAACGGCCAGTTACCGAAGTATACTCTGTTACCGAACAGACTTCGAAGAAGGATTCTGCAATGATAGAGTTAATCAACTCCGTCCAGCAGATGCTTAGGTCAAACAAGCCTAGCAATTCCTCCTATCGTCGTTCTAAATCCCCTCAACGGCAAAACGCACGTGGACGATCTAAGTCCAACACACGCTCTCTCAAAAATCCTGACTGGTGTTGGTATCACAACACCTATGGCAAGGAAGCGAAATGTTGTCGAAAACCTTGTGATTTCGGCAAAGCCTCCAAGTCTGTGGGAAACTATCCCGCCGGCACGCGTTAGCGGCAACCGTCGCCGGTGGCACTAGCCGCTTACTTTACATCCATGATGTAATGAGCCAGACTAGATATCTAGTCGACACAGGCGCCGAAGTCAGCGTCCTTCCTGCTACAGCAGCAGATCGACAGAAGGATCCTAACTTCAACCTACAGGCTGCAAATGGAAAACCAATTGCAACCTATGGTCGGAAATACGTCTATCTGAACGTAGGTTTACGCAAACCTATTCAGTGGATTTTCCTAATCGCTGACGTCACAATGCCCATCATCGGCACGGACCTACTTAATCATCATGATTTGCTCGTAGACGTCCGCCGTAAACGACTAATTGACAACACTACTAGTTTGTCTATCAAAGGCATAACTTACGTAGGCCCAAGCTTGTCAATCGTTAAGATGAAAGCAATCCCCGATCCAACTTTTCAACCGATTGTTGACAAATATCCGGAACTGAATTGCCCATCTAACGATCTCCCGTGTATAACCAGCAATGTTATGCACCACATCATAACCTCAGGACAGCCCGTGACATCTAAAGCACGACGACTGGCCCCTGATAAACTGAGAATTGCCAGAAACGAATTCGATCATATGCTCACCCTTGGCATCATTCGGCCATCGAATAGTCCATGGGCATCCCCGTTGCATATGGTACCGAAAAAGGATAGCAACGATTGGCGACCCACTGGTGATTACCGGCGAGTGAACGCCAAAACAACCCCTGATTGCTACCCTTTGCCTCACATACACGACTTGACGGCAACGTTATCTGGAGCATCTATATTCTCAAAAATCGACTTGGTTAAAGCATATAACCAAATCCCGATGGCAACGGAAGATATTCCGAAAACGGCTATCATCACGCCTTTCGGACTTTTCGAATTCCTACGTATGCCATTCGGCCTCCGGAATGCGGCCCAAACATTCCAACGCTTCATCAACGAAGTATTTCGCGGTCTCGACTTTGTATACGCATACTTAGACGACTGCCTCATTGCCAGTCCAGATAAGGAAACTCACCTTGGACACTTGGACTTGGCATTTGAAAGGTTACGCCAACATGGTGTTACCATCAATATACAGAAGTGTCAGATAGGCGTTGACTCACTCGATTTTCTGGGTCACACTATTGACTGCCAGGGCATACGCCCACTGGCTACTAAAGTCGAAGCAATACTGAACTTTCCGGAGCCAAAGACAGTAAAATGCCTTCGCACTTTTAACGGCTTGGTAAGTTATTACCGACGTTTTATTCCTAATTGTGCTTCTCTAATTCAGCCATTAACCGATCTCCTTCGAGGGAACAACAAGGCTATCGAACTCGACACGTCTGCTCGACATGCTTTTACTCAGGTAAAGAAAGCTATTGCAGATGCCACCCTTCTTATGTATCAGGATCCAACGGCACCGTTGAGTATCTCGGTTGATGCATCAGACACTGCAATCGGCGCAGTTCTGCAACAACTAGTTAACAACGAATGGCAACCACTCGCCTTTTTCTCGAGGCGCCTTCAAGTAGCTGAAACGAAGTACAGCACATTCGGAAGGGAACTTCTAGCTATGTACTGTGCTATACGTCATTTTCGACATTCAGTTGAGGGTCGTGAATTCATAATATTCACTGACCACAAACCTCTGACGTACTCTCTGAACTCAACTTCAGATAAGTATTCACCCAGGGAATCGCGACAACTAGATTACGTTTCACAGTTTTCATCAGATATTCGCCATGTTTCCGGAGTGAACAATACTGTGGCAGATGCCTTGTCACGTATTTGTTCCTTCACCCAAATCGACGGCATAGACCTTGTAAAACTGGCTCGTCTTCAAAAAGAAGATATTGAGCTTCAGCGTGAGTTGTCGAAAACAACTCTACAATTAGCCAAGAAACCCTTAGGTATAGGAAAGGATACTATTCTGTGTGACATTTCCACTAGTACTCCTCGCCCCATCGTGCCTAAAAGTTATCGCCGTAACGTCTTCAATACGTTGCATGGCTTATCCCATCCAGGTATTCGAACTACTGTCAAGCTCGTAACTAGCCGGTTTTGTTGGCCTGGTATGAACAAAGAAGTAAGGGAATGGGCGCAGACGTGCTTAGCTTGCCAAAAGTGCAAGGTAATAAGACACACTAAAAGCCCCCTTGGCACTTTTCTTATCCCCGATGCCCGTTTCGAACACGTCCATATAGATTTAGTTGGCCCCCTCCCAGAATCTCATGGATATACTTATATGTTAACCTGCATCGATCGCTTCACACGATGGCCTGAAGCAGTACCCCTCAAAGATATATCTGCTGAAACTGTCGCACGCGTCTTTGTAGAGAGATGGATCGCAAACTTTGGATGCCCATCTTCCATAACAACTGATCGTGGGCGGCAATTCGAAAGCGGTTTATTCTTCGCTTTGACTAAAATCCTTGGTTGTATGCGTTTTCGAACAACAGCCTACCATCCTCAAGCGAATGGTATGGTAGAACGTCTACACAGACAGTTGAAAGCTGGTTTATCAGCTGCAAATAACACCCATTGGACTGAATCCCTTCCGTTAGTTCTCCTAGGGATACGAAACGCCTTAAAAACCGATGCTGGTTGTACTACCTCTGAGCTAGTATATGGCACAACACTACGACTGCCAGGTGAGTTTGTTTCTCCCTCGAGCTTCCCACCAGTGGTAGATCACTCCTCATACGTCAGCAGGCTTACAAACGCTATGCGTTCAGTTAAACCTGCTCCCCTCCGACCACAGTCCATTGATGTTTTCGTTCACCCTTGTTTAAAAACTTCTTCACATGTATTTGTTCGTCGCGACTCGGTACGTCGTCCTCTAGAACCCCCATATGACGGACCATATAAAGTGATTAAACGTACTGATAAATTCTTCGTTTTAGACAAAAAAGGCCGCGAAGACACCGTCAGTATCGACCGTCTGAAACCAGCTTACTTGGAAGGTAATCCCATTAGCCTGGAGCTAAACGTACCCGATAATTCACAAGTAATTGAATCTACTTCAGTCTTTGAAGAACTCCCTAGCACGGCGAAAGCCACCGAACCTTCGGTCGATCACTCTAAAAAAACGCGTTCTGGACGTCACGTTAGATTCCCAGAATACCTTCACACCTATCTCACATAACTGAGTGACACATCAAATTTTTTTTATGTTGCGTCATTTAACACAAGTAAATGATATTTTTCCTATAACCGTACATAAAATTATATAAGATGTATATATTTTTTCCCGATATTTTGAACTTTACATTATTTTACTGTATAGTAGATGCATGTCATTTTTTTTTGGTAAAAAAAAACGCTTATTTGGTACATTTTTCTTGACAAGGTTCTCAGCATTCTTGTTTTCTTTTCCAGGTGCAACGGGCACTGGACAGGAAACAAACGAAGCACGGGATCCAACGAACAACACTGAGGAAGCTATGTACAGACACCCTATTAGCATAGGCAGACAGACCAGCAGGCTCTCCATCAAGCCGCTTGGAAGATTTTTTTCACCCATCAGGGAACCATCGAGATATTTTTTACTTCCGGCTGGTCATGTCTTAGGGTCCTCACAAACCCACTAGGGGGGGAGTGAGCTGTAGCGGTAAATAATTCCCCAAAATTATTAACCACAGCAATCATCACTCAACATTGGATGCTGACCATCACTGTTTAAGTCGACTTGTTTAGCTGAAGGCTTACGGTCAAGCATCCCCGCCATTTGGTGCTCCGTCGTGTCACGTGCGTGCACGATTACTAGCTAGCTAAGCATTCATTCCTACCCGCGATTTGGTCCCAAAATATATATCGTATTTGGACGACAAAATCTGGTCTTTTGCTTTACCATTTGGTACTCGAAGAACGAACACTATAGTGGTTGTTGGTATAAGATCTTGCGTTAGTATAATCCGTACAACTCGCGAACGTCGATACCTACAGCCACCTAAACTGCAAAACTTATACAATAAATCTCCACACTACTCCCCTCGGAGTATGTTTAAACTCTAGCAGTGTAAAGAATATCAGGAACTCGTATCTCAAGACTAGTAAGCTAGCCCAGACGGATAAATTTGGTGGGCTGGACTTATCCGGCATGTTGGTTGAAATTTCGCTCGGCAAATTTTTTTTGTCAATAATTTTTAATAAAATTTTGTTATATGTTTTCTGGATTGATAGGAATTCTCATTTCCTGGCTAGTTATGTTGGTGTCCGCGTCATTTAATCTGACTGCGACACCCTTAGCATATTGGTTGTAATGATTGGTGTTTCATGCTGAATGCGTCAAAACATCTCTACAATGAAGAAGATGGGGTAGTTGGAGGGTAATGTCATCTACACAAATAGTTTATTTCTTGTAGAAACTGCAGCTTTCGCCATTGTGTCATTCAATAAAGACTACGTCAAAATGTGGCTATTTTCGTGTGAAGAACAGTACTATTTTACAAAAGAATGCTATCAGTACATGGGAATCACCTATAAATACCAACAGAACGTAAAACTTATGTGTAAACGAACGGCTACGGAACTGCAATCCAACATAACCGACTAACATGGACGAAAATGACCTTTGAGCGTCTCACTCCATCAATGACCTTGAGCATGCGGGATAATTTCAGCCATTTGGTGTAAGCTGGCTTGCACGAAGAATATTGAATATTGGAACCACTAATGATTCAAAGCCATGCGTTGCAGCGTTTTGTTCCCGCGAATATCTAAGTGTTTTTCTACTTTTCGCTTACTGCCAAATTTTAGAAGTATACATTCCCAGTATGGAATTAACTTGTCAGCAGATAAACCTACATCATATCCAATATCTGATGCGGAATATGAGCGTGTTTCAAATAAAGCTTTGGAATCCCTTGCAGATACCTTCGATCGTCTCCCAGAAATATATTCTCTGAGTACCGATTATGACGTAGAATACGCGTACGGTGTACTTAAAGTCACTTTTGGACCTCAAGTTGGAACCTACATTGTTAATCGTCAGGCTCCAAATAAGCAACTGTGGCTTTCATCTCCAAGAAGTGGCCCCAGACGTTATGATTACATATCATCTAAAGACATTTGGGTGTACAAACATGATGGGAAGTCGCTTCATGAGTTGTTGAGTGAGGAGATTTCAGAAATTGTTGGTGATTCTGTAAACTTTCATACATGAATATATGCTTAAAATGGAGCTAGTTGTTGGGACTCCGATGCTGTTTTTGAATATTTTATGTTTATTGACTTTCTCCAAAAGAGATAAGTGTAAATCTCAGCACAGGGTTTAATTTATTTTGAATATTTAGGGGTTATTGCACAATAATCTGTATAAAAGTAATTCATCAATTATGATCCATTGAACCGGTTTCAGAATGTTTCTTGTACCGTCTCTTTGACTTCATACCTGCAGTCGTGCTTTTACTCAGTCGGTAAATACATCGACCTCTTATTTTTAAGATTGATAAATATATGGTAATTACTGCCTATAATAGTTTTGCTTATAACATTATTGTAGAGTAGTTCGGTCAAAAATTAGTGTATTGTGATTAAGGTGGTGTCAGTTTGCATAATAGAGTGCGATATGGATTCAACTGTTGGTTTCAGTTATATGACAGACCTCAAGAAAGTAATATGCATACTACAGACTGTTAGGCAGTGACTGTAGATCAGAGTTCTGTTTTGTTTTCTGACTACTTTTGACTTCCCGTGTGGTATCGAATCGAAAAATGTTGCACTTCGTGTTTAATGGGCATGAAAACTTACGGAAACCGTCAGGTGATTAAAGCAACGATGAAAAATTATGTAGAGCTCTTCAAATCTTCGGTACTACAGCTGTCAACAGACTTATGGAACTGTTGTATACTACCTCATGCTATTCATAGACATATGTAGTTGAAGCTTACGGCAAACAAATGAACCTTTTATTCATGTGATCGTTTCTTCAGCTAAAGGAATCCATCGTGTTTTGATAAAAGTGACTGCAGTACTGTTGGCTACTAACTTTGGTGGCTAGTGATTTTGAATGCATTTAGATCTTATGCACAATTTTCATAGTTTTTGAAATCTAAATTCGATGAGCCCCTCCTGACAGTTATCGTGTCTCTCAATGCTTTTGTCTAGATTTTCTGCTTCCTATTTCACGTGCAGTTAAAGTGTTGGGAATCTGAACCAATAAACAGTTGTTTTTCGTGTAGATTATCTCTGCTTGATTTATAAGTTCATTGATATTAATCTTTAATTCGAGGTTAAGCTTCTGAGTTGTATTAAATCATCTCTGTCCAAAATTATTGACTTGAGTACAAGGTGATACTTGAGAAAGCAGTACTGAAACGTATAAGACCATTCAAATACAGTCTTTTAGTTTGTGGCTGCATCATTTTAAAATTTGCGTTTCACTCCACCGTTATCTTAACGATTTTTCGAAGAAAGAAGTATTGCAATCAATGTAATAAAACAAGAGATGCTGCTATAATTTTTTTGAGATATGGAAAAGTAGTTACCTTAACGGTCATTTCCTCGAGATTTCCCAACTTTGACTAAAGATGTTTGCACCCTACTTCCCTTATCAAGTGGTATAATTTGGTGAATAGTATTGAACTTATACTTAGTGATTTAGTGAAGAGGTCAAGTCAACCGATTAAGTTTTGAAGACACATCAGTCGAAATGTCTAGGATACGTGTTGCACATGCCGAGCCACCACCTTCGTCGTTGAACAATGTTAGCTGACATAAGACTAAGCTGGAAAACAGTTAGCGGTGGTCAAACCAAAATATGTCATCAGTCCATGAAATATCTGACTGTTGGTTTGAGCCAGATAGGGAGGTGTTGACTGTCTAGCTGTGATTGTCAGGATGCCAATAGTCCTTTAGAACTTTGGCTTCTTTCCTCTAGTTTTGTGTGTTACATGCAGTATGGCAGCTTCATCTGCTGCACTTCTCTGCAAAGTTATGTGCTGAAACTCAGTCGGCCAATATTGTCCACTAATTGTGCTTTTTTAGGTCACATTTTGTCACTCTTGCGGTTTCATATTGCTGGGAAATTACTCATAAATTCAAGATGTGACAGTATTTGCTTCGCTGTACCGTATTATAAACTAGCATTCGGTCGGTCGGTCGGTTTTCGACATAGAACTTTGCACATATGTGCGGCAGTTCAAGTCGCCACAATCTATGTAGCACGCAAAGCAAGAGAAGGAAGTAGAAGAAATGCATAATATAGACAGTAAACAGAGGTGTGAGACAAAGGAATAGTAATAACGGAGAACAAAAGTTTAATTGGAAATCATAAGTCACAAGGAGTGGATGCATCTGCGCCACTGAGAACGATTTTGAGCCATGTCACCAATTGTTTCCAACCATTGGTTTTTACCATCCCGAGGGCCCCAACCAGGAAGTCTACATCTTCCTACGTGGCTTAGATTAACTGTTGTGGATTTCATTGATTGGTGCCATGTTTTCGTTTGACCGCCGCTAGCTCTTTTCCAGCCTGACCCTATATCAGCTAACATTGCCCGTCGAGAAAGGCGATGACTAGGCATACGTAGCACATGTCCTAACCATCTCAGTCGAAGTAATTTCACAGTCTCGTCGATTGATTTCCCCGCCTTACCTAGCACTCGACGCCTAACCTCAATATTGCTCACCTTATTATACCACTTCACGCGGGAGATAGAACGCAGACACCTATGATCGAAGACAGCTAATCTTTTCATGTCTTCTGCTCTCAATGGCCAGGTCTCACAGCCATAAAGGAGGACGGAGCGGACTGTTGAGCAGTACACACGCCCTTTGGTCGATAGTCGGATATCGCGTCTACGCCAGAGACGGCGAAAACTGGCGAATGCGAACCTAGCCGTCTGTATTCGTGCTGAAATTTCGTCGGAGATCAACCCGTTGGGGCTGATGGTACTTCCAAAGTAAGTGAAGCGGTCAACGTGTTCTACCACTTCACTTCCTATTTCTAATCTAGGGGTCGATGAAGTCCAATCCTGCAGCATCATCTTACATTTTATAGGGGCGAATCGCATGCCAAACATGCGGAGATTGTTGCTCAGGGTGTTCAGTAGACTCTGCATTTTGTCAGAGTCCTCGCCTAGAAGGACTATATCGTCCGCATATTCTAAGTCAACGAGATTCTTCCCTGGTAGCAAGTCAATCCCTGAGTCGCTGAAGTGAGTTAGGGTTAAGTCCATTAGTACATCTATGATGAAATTGAATAGGAATGGGGATAATGGGCATCCTTGACGGACGCCACTAGTCGTCACCACTTCAGATGACAACTCGCCATAAGCCCTCACCTGGCATTGCCTCAATATGAGAACTTGAAGCACTTCATTTGAAGTTGTTTCAAGCTACAGTAGTCATAGTGGGTGGAGGGACCGGTCAACGGACACAATAATTAACCCCATATAAGATCAGTGGAGTGAAAACAAGTTCACATCACCAGTGAATAATTAGCCTAAGTGAAGAGATCTATTCATTAATTGTGTTTACCTTTAAATGAAGAGAATACTTTAGTAGGCTATCTTGTGTATTTGTTGTATTTCATTAAGTGTATATTTTATGATCCCCATTTATAGTTATATATGTCCAAACCAAGTTCACTTTTAACAGTTTGAAAATATTTGGGCGTATATGATGTTCATTATAATAAAGGTTTTTGTATTTCCCAATGAATGAAAAACAAAACGATATTGTTTTTACTGACGTTTCGCTATTTAATGCTAATAGCTTTATATATATATATATATATATATATATATATATATATATATGCTGAACTTTATGATAATGCCCATTTATAGTTACTTGTATTTCGTGTTGTCGATCACTTCTGGTACTGGTGTAACATTTGATGGCGTACCTGTCAGTTTTGGAGTCATATGCGTTCCTCCAGAAGTTGGCATTGTCTGGCTATAGGTCGTCTGCATAAAACATGAGGATTTTGCTTTTGAATCTCATCTAGTCGTCCGGAAAACTACTACAAAAATGTAAAGATGTCTACCAACGCAGATACATCGCTCGCTCTGTACTATTAGTTCGCCAAGATTGAACTAGGCTTTCCCCTCGATGTTAGGTAGCACTCCTCTTAGATTTCATCTTATTGTTCAAGTTGAAATACTATTACTTTTTTGGTTGAAGTCAGGGACAAGCATGGGAAACTGATTCTGTCAGTGACTGAATTCTAAGTGGCATTCTGATTTGCTGCAGAATTTTAGTTTATAGTCTCTTTTTTCATATTTCATCTAGATATGCTCACTCATTGGGGCTGTTTTAATCAAAAATCCCTTGAATGCTTCCGGTGGTTTTTCTCATTTTTATTTTGCACCCAAGGTCTCTATGGTTTATAAAATCTGACAAAAAATGCAATATCTCCTGTTTTTAAGTGTTTGCTGATTATTCGTTCGATAATGTTTTGGTGATCAAATAAATTCCTTGTTATTGTTAACACCGGGGGAGCACATCCGCTTATGTAGGTGGATTCATTCTCCTTTGGTAGTATCATATATATGTAGGGTCACTATGATATTCGAAATATTATACCTAATCTAAGTATTACAGCATATAAAACAATCTTGAACTTAGGTTTTTTTGTTTATGCAGCACTAATAATTCGATTTGACTGAGTAACTGATGTATAAACTTGTTAAGCTTAAACTGTTTTTGGAATAAAATAAAATTTTTATCTAGCAGTATTATGAAGTGCAGATATATGCGATATCCAGAGACTTTGGGGATAGGATGTGACGTTAGAGTGTCACATTGGATTAACTTCATGTCATTGTACTAATTAATTCACTTCACGTTTGATCACGAACTAACTTCAGTTAGAGAACTATTGAAAACTAAGGAGTACTGGACATCTGTTCGTCCTTGTTTAGGACTCTTCGTTAGTAAGCACACCGGACTTTCAGGTTACAAGGCGAATTCGTTGACTATTCAGCCTTTGGGATGGAATCCAATGAATGGTCCATCAATTCTAACTTTTGTTAATTTGCGATATATAGCGCGACCGTCAGCCAATGTCATCAACGATTATCTGTCCTTGCTCTCAATTTGGTTGACACGACTTCCCACTAGAACTTCAGTTAACTTCATCCTGTAGTCAATCACTAGTGAGTACTAGATTAAGAGTCCCAAAGAAGGACAAGACAGCTATCCACTTCTCCCTGGTTTTCAACGGTTCTCTAACTGAAGACACTTCGTGATCAACATTGAAAGCAGTCAAATCTCTGAGAACCAAGACTAAAAATTAATAGCCTGTTTGCTTTTTATCTTCTTCGCGCTGATGACTCATCTGACTATTATTTGGTTTCTTTTTACACTCACTATCTAACTTCACCTTGTTTGCCCAAAAGTAACTCATAGATGGTCTTCAGTCACATGCTGGATATCTAAGATAAAAACACGCTCAGTTTTGACTCACTAAAGGTTATACGAGTATTTTTATTGTTGTTGTTTAAAAATGATACTTGAAAGTAGGTGGAATGTACTATAAAATGATTTGTTTGTCGATCATGTTGAGCTAATGTAACTGGTGTCATTAATATCACTAGCTGAAACAACAACATTCTTGCCAGAAGTATCTCTTTATATCAGGCCTAAGTTGTTTTTGTCTTACCATGTCGTGGTAATATTTAAGTCCCACTCTTATGTGACTTTGCAGTCAACATATCAACTGTTTCTATTGGTTTTCTGAGCATAAACGGCTTTTTTAATTTCACGAAGTTAGCTAGTAAGGACGAATCAGGCACAGTGGAGAATTTTCGAGTTTTGTCATCCTGAAAAACAAAGCGAATTAGTTTTTCATGTGCTTAACAAGGTCTTTGAAGCACAACAACAACTAATACTTTTGATGCAACTGATAATAAACGTACTAATATCACAACTGTTGATATGTGGATTACATAAGCTGTTTTAAAATAGATACAACGATAGCCTTATCCCATATTGATATGGCATACTCTAGTTGGTTCTCTAACTGAAATGAGCCAGGGTTTAGTCGTTGTCTGGGTCGGATGCCTCATGGTAGTGGTGTTCCTCCAAAATTCCTTTCAGGCCTATGCTTCGTTAGGGGGATCGGTGTTAACCGACTATAGAGTACCGTGCTTTGGTGCAAAGGGTATTTGAGTTGTCAGATAATCACACTGTTTTCAAATGCTCTATCCAATAATCCAGCAGAATGGACCAATAGATGTCAAGAAGGTGCAAAGAATCGTTAATTTAAGAGTAGAATTCGGACAGTGTGGTAGAGTATAATTTCATATTAGATAAGTTTATTTGATATAACACACAGTGATACAGTATTAACAACTGGATGACGTTTTGAGCACAATGTATTGCTCATAATCATACCAAGGAACTCACAAAAACCAAGTATTTGTCAGCGAGACGTTCTTCCAAACCACAAGCGAATTTAATCGTCTTCTTAGTGGGTGGGGTTGCTAGCTTCACATCTCATCTTCATTCTTAACCGGATGGACAAGGTTTAGGAGTACGTTGGCCTGTCGACGTTACCGGCGAGCATTCTACCAATGAACGGCTAACGCACCATTAAGAATAATAGTGTCTATATGTAACTAAACACTAGCATAATTTAACCCTGATCAATTCGATAAATAATTATATTGAAGCAGTAGTGATAATTGTAAACATTGGTTGATAAAATGTTTTAATTTAAAATGGAGTTAAAGTGCTCAATATTTCCTAATAGTCATTTAAGCATGTAACGATTTTACAGACACGACTAAGTTATACAATTCATGAAACAATCTACTACTATGGATACATTGATAGATAATGATGTGAATCGCGCATCCCAGTTATTTGACCTTCTCAACAAGATCCACTTTAATGCTAAATTGACCACCAAACGAGTTTAATTTCCTGGATTTTAATGTGAGAAGAAATGATGGTACGATTAAAAAGTCTGTCCATAAAAAGAAACTTGAATCAAACAACATCTTTACTATAATAGCATCTTTTCTGTCATCCATAAGCGTAGATTGGTCAATACACTTTACCGAAGCTTAGCTCTTCTTCATGCATATACCATTTCAACTGTTCCTGTGGTTCAAGTTATATAGGGCGCACGATTAGGCAGGTTCGAGAACATTTACCAGCTTGGTTCAGCAGGGGGGAAATTAAGTGCATAAAAAGCTCGATCCTGTCACACTTGGTCGATACTGGACATCATATCGATGTCAACACAGCTTTCTGGGTTATATACCGAATTCCGAAGTCGTTATCACGTACAGTTCGTTTACGTCTTCTGCACATAGCTGAAGCTGTTGCAATAAGATCGACTAAACCGGAACTTTGTATCCAAAAAGAACACGTTCAGACGCTGTTCCTACCGTGGCCAAACTTGGATTGATGATTCTTCTTCTCACCGAGAGTGCTCCTTCCCCTTAACCCTCTTGGCTCTTTTCCCTTTGCTTATTATTACAATTAATATTATTATTATTCGTCATAATTTATGCCCTTCATGTAAACATTCTCTCAATACTATCGAATTTTTCGTTTATAGTATCCGGACTTATTATTAGTAATATTATCTCTTTTCTCAATAAATGCCTCCACCTGTTTCATTTCACATATTCGTTATCTCATTATGAACCTCCCATTGCAGTCTTACTATCTCCTGTTTAACACAGACAACTTTGTACTAGCCACTCACCTGACACCTTTTATAACCTTGAACTGACTTGTCAATTTTTCCAGCCCACACTCTACAAATCTATTATGATTAATCACCATTGTCTCCCGTTTTACAATATTTTGTGATCGAATTCAGCCTAGCACGTTTGTCACACAAATACGACTATTTATTTTGACACCCCGATAACTAATCTGTTATTCTACGTTAAAAAAAATGTACCTGCCGCATAACTGGCCTTATTGTAACGACAACAAATATTATATTTTATAATTGTAAGAACCTGAAGAGAAATTATTGAAAAGAATATTCTTCGTTCAGATTGACTTTTAATACACTTTACGACAGAGCCAGGAAACTATTTTCACTCAATAAGTTGTAAGAAGAATTAAAATTTGTTGAGAAATACCTCACAGAGAATGGATACCCTAAAGGATCTATCCTCAAGTATGAAAAGAGATAGTCAGGAAAACGAAGCATCTGACTGTTGAAAAAAGAAGAAAGTCTTTATTCATTTTACATTCAACGGAGAGACAGGATCGAAAAAAGAGCAATAAAAAGATGTTTCCCTACAGTCAAGCTTGTATCAACACATACAGCATCATATTCTCAATAAGCTAATCCAAGTTGGATAAGTATCCCGCTGATGTATCACTCCAACTGTGTTTATAAATTTACATACTCTTGCGGTTGCAAGTTCAATGGGAGGAGGACGGGTAGGAATTCTTCTCTCTCGTTTCCTGAACACATTCCACAAACTTTATACCCTAAAAGCAAGGCAAATATTCGGAAAACGTAATTCTAAGATGATAGACAGATATAGGGCATCCTTTCGACACTTCCGGGGGAGGACAAATTGTAATGGGGGTACTTATACATACAGATTTCGATTATGAACATCCGCGTTAATTACATAGTCGTCTATATTAGTGATTTCAGCTCACTCGTACTTATACTTTAATCTTATAAGCTAACAATGTTTATTAATTTTTCCTCATATTTTTTCTGTCTTGTCCTTCTCTCTTCTGTCATTCCAACGCTGTGAAGTATGTTATGTAACATTCTTTCTTTTATAATCATTGTAGTAATTTTGAGTGGTAGTTTGCAGCTGGTGAGACCCTGTGTATGCAATATGTTACTTTTAAATGAAGCTGTAATCACAATAAAGTAGAAATTACATCTAAAATACTGACAATATATGTATAGGAAATATATTGATAGCATATATTTGTATATTTAGCATATATATATATATATATATATATATATATATATATATATATACTCGTAATTATACATGAGAACTTGTAAACCTAGTGTATACAGTTGGTCAGTAATGTGAAGGAAAAGAAGAACAAGAAGGAAAACAAACCCAACCATAACAAACAATGAAGTATTAAAGGTAATCGAAGGAAATTTCGCATCTTCACACACACACAGAGACAGTAAGTAGTTTATGAAGAAAATGAAAAAAATAAGGTAGGTAGATAGGTGACTCTTTAGTTCATCTGGAAATAACAATAATAATATTAATAAAGAATTGAGAGAAATGAGTACGTTAAAAAGACGGTAGGTAAGATACAGGACAATAGAGAAACAGTCCTTTACCCAGCATATACTGTTTCATTTTTTGGGATATGGAAGTTAGAAAATGAGAGAAATGAAGGGAGTGCGTGTGTGTGTAAAATGTTAAGTTGAGAATAGAGTTCAATGACAAATATGCATATGTCTGTCTGTGTGCAGATGGGTGTCATTCATATTTTATAATAATAATTATTATTATTATTATATATTATCCATCTAACTAAATGTTTGAGCTACAGTAGAAAATGAAGAATGGGGGAGGAGGGAGGGGGAAACTATCATTCACACTCATACATATATTAGGTTGATATTATCTCATTAGAAAAAGAAACAAGAATGAGATCTTGCCATCAGTGTCATGACTTTATTTTTTACTTTTGTCTAAAATTTAATCATAATCAACATGTTTCACATTGTATTCAACATTATTGTTATTGTCATTATATTAGCATTATTATCATCATCATCAGAAATTGTAATAGAAACCATTGATAATTATAACTGGAACTATTCAAAGATTAAAATAGGAAAACCAACTCAACTACTAATACTACTACTAGCAATAATATTAGTAGTAGGTATAAGTAGGATATGAAGTGTTCAAAGAAGAGATAATATATGTATATGTATATCACATAGGAATTATGTTTTGTTTTCACGGTGGGAGCCAGTTGGGGGAGGGGGTTAGGTGAGTTGGGAAAGTAATGAATACAAATTACAATAAATTATGCAATTCTATCTAGTTTCTATCACCTAGTTTCCTTTTGTTGTTGTTGTTGTGTTTTTTTGTTTACTCGTTTATAAACTACTGTATTCATTCACAGTAGCTAGTGAAATTTCTTTGTTGTTTTGTTATTGTTACTTCACAGTGAATTAATTGTTTCATTAGGAGAGATTGTCTAGTAATAGGGATTTTCCTTTGGGATAGTGGAAGGAGGTGACCCGGCGGACGGGTGGACGGGCAGTGGAGAAAGATTTCGAAGAAAACTATGATATATATATATGTATATATATAAGTGTGTGTATATAGTTTATGTGTACTATTTAAACAAGAAAATAGGATAAGAAGAAGAGGAGTAAACTGACACAGCCTCATCCAATATTATCATCATCATTATTATGTAATAGAGTATTTGGTATACATATATATATATATGTATATATGTTTGTGTATTTCTATGTAGAGATGAAAAGAGTTCAGTATTTTGAAAAGAATGTGAATTTAACGAAACAATAAATAATAGTGATAATAATAATGCACAGAATACACGGTACTCTTTGTTTCTTTTCTTTCACAATTAAAAGTTGTTTGAGCTAATGATACACTACTGGTCTTGGTATGTGATACATGCGTCTATCTATTTGTCTATCTATCTGTGTGTATGTATTTGTGCGTGTGAATAAGGGTTGAGTAAAAAATAATACACAATGGCAAAACGAAAAAAAAACTTCAAACATGGAGTAATAGGGATAGTAGGAATAATAATTATAATAATCATAACTATAAGAGTAATAACTCATGAGTGAACTTTTATAGAAAGGCAGTAATGAATTTGCAATAATAATAATAATAATAATACTTCACAACTACTTATCTAATATTTCTGTTTGAGTTGGGCATATATGTATATATATGGATCAAGGAGGGAAGTAGGTGTGATTAGAACAAAGTCTCTTTCAATAATAATGTAAATATGTATATATATGTATAATTTGTTCATTTTCAAAGTTTTGTTTTGTGTAGAACTTCATTTTTTTGTGGATTATTTTTATCATTATCAACATCACCATCATTATCATTATGATCATCATCATCACTATCATCGTTATAATTATAATGAACTGCTGGTTGTGATTGAGACTGTACGCCATCATGATTATTTTTTAATAGATTTGTTGATGGTGTATGTTGAAGTAAAACAAATGAATGTGATCTATGCGGTTGTTGAGCAAATCTTTTCTTCAATTGACCACTTCTTTCAAGTCGTTCACATAATGCAGTTGGATTATTATCACGAAATGCATTGATTACACGAAGCTGATGATAGCATATTGATACGAAGAATCGAAGGTTGAAAAGACAATGCCAATGGGAAGAGAGGAAAAAACGACAGAGAATTATATTATTATTAGTTATAATTCAAATAAAATTGTTCTCTACACTATTCTACTACTAATACTACTACTAAAACCGCATGCTATAAACACTCAAGTAAGGTGAGTAGGTAGGTAGGTAGATAGATAGATAGATGAACTGAGCAACATACTAGTGAAATCATAATATTAATAAAAGAAATACTCCGCACTATGCATTATGAATAGTTTATTTCAATATCATGCACTACTAACTGTAAAAGAAATAACAAATATGGAATGTATGAATCAAATTATATATATCTACAGGTATATATGTATATATACGTATTTAAGTAGTATATGAATTAGAACATAAAATGTTTTTGTTTTTACTCAGTAATAACAACAAAAAATAAATTATCAGGCATAAAATAAAAATGAAAACAAATGAAAAATCATAGTTAACTGAAATTATACATTCTACATATTTTGCTTATTATATGATTCATGTATCATTATTACATGCCAGAAAATAAAATGAACGTGCAAAATTCATGGTTTGTTATTGGATAACAAAAAATATAAAAATTATGCATGTATATTTCTTCTAGGTAAACTATAATTACTACTAAATGTGGTAGAATCAGTAGGTATTAAAAAGCATGCCTTGTGTTAACCGGCTTTCGCCAGTAGTTTTATTACAAACAAACAAACAAAAAAAAAGAATAACCAAAATAATTTTTAAAAAAAATAGTAGAACAAACTACTAAATGCGAAATTATAATGAAACCAAAGGAAAAATAAAACAGAACGGTGGGATTTGAAAACTGCCTTCAATTTTAAGACAGGAAACTGGAATTTTTCTAGACAATCAAATCTTGTTTGATTATTCTATCAGACATACAAAGTACTTGTTATATTATCAAACATTCCATTCTATTATAGAATTATTCTATCCATTATTCAAATCATTTGCCTTACAGTTAGGTAAGTAATTCGTTCCAATGGAGATGAAGGGAATATACTCTGAGCAGACTGTTGAGTGACATCAGTCGAGTGGAACTCAAGGATGAGTTGGATGCGGATCGGAAGGTGACATACAGGAGACGAAAGTCTATAGGCAGTCGTGGTGGCAGCTAAAGACAGCAGCAGACAACAGGATGATATGGAGGTGTGCTGTTGAAGCCCTCCCTAAGTTCCACTTGGAACCTAAGGGAACAATAATAATAAGTCACTGTCTTACCCAAAGTTGATCAGTGTATATATATATATATATATGTCGTGATGTTATTCTTGACTTAAATGTAGACGTATACACGAACACGACAGAAAAGAACATACTGACAACAGATAATGGAGAGAGAAAATAGTAAAAGAGGAAACTATGCACACCAAATGTGCTGTGTGTAACAAAATATATATATGTATATATATTTAAATATAGTTCAATTGAGGAAAATGAAACAATAGTAATAATAATAACCAAATTAAATCTTTGTGATGAGTTAAACTAATAACAATGATGACGATGATGATTACAGTGACACAGAGAAAAAACAATTAGACGAACAGAAAGGAAAGATACGCTTTGTTATTGATATATTCATTAGTAAAGTGTAATTATAACCTACCCATATATTAAAAAAGATCTAAAAACATTCAACTGTTCTCTTCTGATGGTGACGATGATCATGATGATGATGGTCACGGCTAAGTTAAAAGTACCCACAAACGAACACTCTCACACGCATACATACACTCTTTCTCGAAATCAATCAATCATTACTTCTCAAAAGTGTGATTTACAGAATTCCCACATTTAATTGTTTTGCATTCTCATCCTCTTTTTTGGGGGGTCATCATTATGCAATAGAGTGAATAGATAGAAGATTAAAGTAGGCAAGTGTGTTTAGAAAGAAATGAAATTTGGGGTAAAAGATTTTATGTCCTCACACACACACCATAACTAAAGAGAAAAGGTTATTAAGGATAGTAAATGGTATGAATAAGTAAATATACACTAATGAATGACAACGATTCTTTTCAAAGAATAATATGTATTAAAGAAGAGTTATCCTGTTAGTGATTTGAGCAAATGATTTTAAAAAATACGTATTATATATATATATGTATGTGTAATTAAGGAAATTTCTCTTTTTCTATTCATAAATGAACGAACGATGAGTTATTTTTGCATAAATAAGTGATGAGATGTATTCTTATGTGAGTTTTTGTACTAAAAACAAAAAAAAGAGAAGAAATGAAATATACAGATTGCTTGTAGAGTTGAATTCCTCCGTTGCTGGTTTTTTGTTGTTGAGATTTGTATAATATTGGTTGAGATAAATGCGTATGAGCAACATTTCTAATTACTATTATTTTGATGAGTAGTGTTACCTCCTCTTGGTGTTAGGCATTAGGCTATGTTATATTAAACATATACTCCTTGTCGCTGTTCTATTCGACGTTATCCATCTTAAGGCTACATACTGATGATGATAATAATAACTTTGGTATATATGTATATATAGGTATATATTTATCACAAAACGTTCTAGAATAAGTTATCGCCTTCTGAGGTAGCTGTACTAAATGATTGTTTGAAGGATGGAGGTGGTGGTGGTGCAGGCGGCTTACTTGATCGTCTGCCTTGATGATTATATGGACGATTTGAAGATGGCAGCCTACCACTAGAAGTAGTAGAATCTTGACGTATAGAAGAAGAAGAAGAATGTTCAATGTTAACTTGTTGATCTTCAATATTATACGGGGATTCTGTGATAGTACAGCTTTCACTGTCTTTTTGTCCTGAATCTTGTATCCAACTTGATTTAATCCATTCTTCAAGATCTGGATTCAGCGGTGCTCTAGTTTCACTTGTACTCTTGTAAGCATTTTCTTCAAGATGAGAAGAAGTATAAAGATTGCCTTCATTGGTAATTGTCACTGATGTAGAGATTATGCCTTCTTCTTCTTCTACCTCTTCATCCTGATTGTCCACTTGTTTGCTTCTCTCAGTGTCACCATAATGACTATTTTTATAGATTTCTGAATCTAATTTTAACAGGCAATGATTTTCTTGTGTTTCTTCCCATAATCCATTTGGTGTAATTGCTGTAGTAGATGAGAGATCTGTAAAATCAGTCGATGGCTGTTGTTGATGATGATGTAGGCCATCATTCCTAATCGATTGTTCTGTTAGTTTACTTTTCTTAGAGACTTGTTTGTTCACTATACCATCTTTTGATTGTCGATGATATTGTTGACGAATTAATGCAGCTATTCCACCACGATCATCTTCTGATTCACTTCTACCACGGAAAGCATGCACAACTTTCAACTGATAATCGTGAAATTGAAGCAGTAGGTTGATATTAGTTAGTCGAAGGAAAGTTGAACAGAGGAGTAACAACAATACGGAGAGTAAGATAGCAGAAAAGAGAAACGATAGAAAGTAAGAGTGTAGACAAATACCAGTACCCAAAAGAAATCGTCGAATACACACATTTACCGACACACGCACATATATGTGAACACAAACAAAAGAAGTATGGAGGAAATTGACGCACACACACACACACAAGCCGACAAATCACACATTTACGACAATAACATTTAAAACAAAAACGAAAAGGTGGAGAAAAAAAGAATAAAGAAAATAAAGTAGGCATAAGACTAATTGTTATCATTAATTATTAAAAACAAAAAAGTAAAAATTAATACAAGCAATGTTAACCAACTTTCTATTTCCACCCGTAAAAGTATTAAGATAAGTTTCTTAAACCTTAACTGACAAACGGAAGACTAATATTATTACTTCATATGAAATAATAATTTTCACTATATAGTGGGATGCTTATGCCGGTAACTTAATGGTACAATGCTTACCAGCGGCGCACGTCATCTGGGTTCGATACTGCCGGTGGATGCACTTGTACGAACTTCGTCCAACTCACTAGCTCTCAAAACAAGAGAATGTTGGACGTGAGAAGAGCAATCCGAACCCTACCCTGTTAACCTACGGAAGAATACCACTGCTATCGGAACTTCAAGATTTGAAGCCATTTAGAATTCAAGGGATGGAAAAAAACAAGACTACATAGAAATACACTATCTCTCCTACTAACTTCCACTATGACTATTTGCTAAATAAGTTCAGTGATGTAATCTACAAAGCTATAAAAATGGAAAATTTATTTGTTTGCTTTAGTTTTCACTGGTGGTATAATATCTGAAATAATAACAGGTGGTCTTTTCAAGCATTTGAATGAGAAAAAAAGCCAACGAGCAGGAGGATTATTCTACTTTTATTGTTAGCATAAATTTAAAATGTTAAATTATATTTGTTCAACTTAGTAGGGAAGTCAGTGAGCATTTATATTTACATATATATATATATATACAATCGAGTGTTTGTTTGTGGGTTTTTGATTGGTTACACGTTTGACCATCATCCGACATCAGTTAGAGAACTATTGGAAAACGAGGGAGTACTGAATAAATATTTCGCCCTAGTTTAAGACTCTTCAGTGGTACCCGTCCACCTGGGATCGAACTCAGGACCTTCCGGTTATAAGGCAAGCTTGTAGACCATTCAGCCACTGGGACCCGATCCAGTAGCTATCTTATCTGGCTTTGTGGACCCCACCAGTTACAACTTCTCACTAGATCTTCCTGTATACAGTCAGTCCTCATAAGACATACATCAAAAGCTAGTCTATGCTCTTAATGTATCTTTCTTTTTCAATGACGAGATTCTCAGAATTTCTTGTCAATTATAAAGTAAAAATTAGTATGTACAGATCCCATTTAGCAACCGTTGGCATTATCCGTATTCTTAAATCAGTCAGTAGGATATCGTGTAATTAATTACCCATAGTTCGTCTTTATGTTGTGCACTTGCCTTGAGGGATGAAGTCAGCATGTATGATTTCAATCGTTTTTAACTTTTGATTTTGTACATATTAAATTCTTTACTTCGTCTATTCTAATTCTGTAAGTCTTTGTGCTGAGTTAATTCTATGTTGATCTCGTTTAGTAGTCAAGTTACTGTCTTACTAACTGACGACGTACAAAACTCATTATTGTCTCATTATATATGAATTCAATAAATAAAAAACAAGTGGATATGAGTGAGGATTAAAGCTACCATGAGTTGTTTTCGCGCACAGGATTACAAATATATCACAAAAGATTTGAGAAAGCACCTTTCTAAACAACCAGACGTAATATCTCAGATGATTACAACATTCCACCACGAAGCGCCTAATACAAAATCACATTAGACCAACTCTACCTGAGAAAATTCAAGTCATAACTAACCGCCTACGTTTTACCTATTCAAGTATTATAGTGAAACGAAAGCTGAGAAAGTTTGGTTCAGTATAACTTATACCCTCACTCAGTGGATATGCAATTTAAAAAAAATGTTTGATAATAATAAAATAATTCCACACTGTAGGAAATGATTTACTCTTAAAATTTAACTTTTTTTTGAAAACGTTAAAAAAATAAATACAGCTAAAAGTTTCAGTGTTTGAAACGAGGATTGTTGGGTTCGAGTCCCACTAGCTAGAAGTGGGAGGCGGGTGGAAATACAATCACTCCTTGAGGATGCAAGTACTTCCAGCTGGTGAATCTCATCAAATAGAACGAAATCATATTCACAATCCTGAATTCCACTGCTAGTTGTCATCATACAAAGCAACAAATTAAAATCTCCCGCTTATTTTTTTAACTTAACAAAGTGAAATTATTTCGGTTAGTACAGTCAGCTGATGAAGAAACTTTATTCCCTCTGATGAGAATTGCAAGTGTATTTTGCTCACCAGAGTAAAACAAAGTACCTATGTTAGTTGATTAATTAATTTCTCTTAAGTTAAAATTGATTACTCGTTGTGAAGCCAACTAGTGTTATTGCTTTTTTTCTCTCTCTAATTCCTGTATCTTCATATCTGCAGGTGATAAGCAATAGTTTCTAATTAATATACATTAGTTTCATTATAATTTTAGTATGCGTAGAGTATAAAATATATTAAGGAAACAAAAGTCATTCATTTCAGTTTTCAGTCACTATTTTCAATGTTCAACAGATATTAATTTTTAGTTTTTGAAGTGTTTACTTTTAAGCTTATGAAGTTTATTTTAGTAAAAGTGACTTTAAGTTATTTTATTTATTTTAAAGATTATCACATGAAATTCACGGGGGGAGGAGAGGTGATTGAGATGTTTTCAAAGGAGAAAAAAAAGCAAGTTTGTTCATGCCAAACGCCGAGTGTCTGCATCTATAGGCGAATTATTCAAAGTCATTGTGTACGTGCACTCTTCTGCTTTGGTTGGTGGTGATTAACAGTAGAATCCAGAAAGCGAAAGTGGATGTTCGCATTCTTATTAGATGGTTGAAGGCAATCGGATGGAAGCATTGAACTTAGGTTTTGCGCTTGTTGACAATCATCTGCAATCTTAAATGTAACTCATATCCCTTCGGAGGTTCGAACCCGTATCACTCAGTGCTACAGTTGGAGAGGTGACCGTTGAGCTATTCGGCCTCCCGATTGACATGATCATTGCAGATACGCCTTGCTAATGAATATCAACAAACATGAAACCTATGTCCAACCAAGGCTTTCTGCCAATCGCCTCCAAACACCTGACATAATGGCCAAATTGTACACTTGACTGATAGATATCAGTCTGCATCAAACGAAAAACTAGACACATGGTATTAGTTACAACCTGCTATCCAACCAAAGTGCGTTGGCATTCGACCTTTCACTCTTGAGAGTAACATCTGCCACCATGTCGTGTGAAAACAGTCAATAGGGGACATTTAGATAGGAAGACCGAAGTCTATCCATTCTTGATCGTACTAGGTCACGTTTATGACCATAAAGATCAATTATATAATATTTATGGTTTTGCTAACAAATAAAACGAACGAAAAAAGAACTATACACCAATGGAGAACTAGTAATAAATACTGAATGTCTTCTTAAGCTTATTTATAATTAATTGAGCTAGATAACATATAGAATTGTATATGAGATTTCTTCTCTTTTATTTTCTTACATATATATTATATATGCATATAAATATATTTCACTGATACACTACTGTGAAGAGAAAATACATAGACAGAGAGAGAGAGAGATAGATAGAGGTGAACAATAGGGAAATAACAAATGGTGTGTAGTATAGTATAGTATAGTACTTCTTTATACTTAATTTTCATATGTTCAAAGAACTGATGCATAAAGGAATTGAAAGAATAATCATTATGAGATTTTTGTTAAAATAGAACAAGTGTATTTGTTATTCGCATGATTGTTACGATTATTATCATTATCATTACCATCATCATCTGGTGCTGTCTCTTTGTTCTGTCCGCTTCCTTCCTTACTGTTCACTCTCTACGTGTAGTACTGTCTGTCACATACATACATTTCATGATGATGATGACGTAATGAAAACTGGGCATCAAAATTTCCAGTTTTTTTATTTTTAACCCAAGAGCAATGAAATTATAATCATTTATAACTGTGATGAATGTATATTTCTCTTCAAAATACTTTAGAAGAAGAAAAAGAAGCCATAATGACGAAATAACATTGGAAGAAGAAGGTGATGAGGATGATGAGAAGACGAAATAAACGAAACAAACAGGAAAAATGTGAAAGGAAACACAGGAAGAAGAATAATCACTGAAAGGTTAACTCGACAAATTTGAAAGTAGTAGTAAATAGATTCAACATGTTTTTATATATAACAAGAAATAAATAATGAGAGTGAAACACAAAGAGAGACAAATAGAGAGAAAGATGGAGAGAACAGGTCACTACTATCACTGAAAGAAAAATAGAAGTGAAGTTAAATGTCTACTTCACAATATAACCCTTATTATTATTAGTATTTTCTTTCTATTCCCTTGTGTATTTTGTGTATATTTTATGCTTGTTATGATTTGAACTACAAGGGAAGTACAAGTGTGTAGTGTGAACACAACTACTTGTATCCCTTATTACTTATGATCAATGTGACAAGATTACATAATAAGAAAAATGTCCCTTCATGCATCTTAACATAAGAATTGAAAATAACTGTGTTGTATGTGTGTGTGTGTTTGTGAACCATACCACGTGAAGAACTATGCTCATAATTTCTCTTGAGTATATGCATATATATATGTATATATATATACTACTTTATTTACTTATTTCTAAATTTTCACAATTTTAGAATCATAATAATAATATTATAGCTACAAAAAGAAAATGTTTTGTTGAGAAGAAAGGAATGATAGAATTCTACCATAAATGAAACGTATTCTTGCGAATTTTCCCATATGTGCATGATTATATGCACACATTTGTATGTATGTATGTAAGTATGTGTATATATATAGTAAGGGTGCTTTGTGTGTAGAATCCTTTAGAAAAACAAAACAATAAACAGTTCATATATAATGTTTACCCATTACCCTTCACATATTTCCCTTTTTGATGGTGATAATAATAATAATAATAATGATAGTAGTAGTAGTCATAAAATGATACAAATCAAATCAGAAATGTGAATTCATCTAATCAGATTTTATCCTTGAAGTTATATAACCAATTGTCCTTATAACAGTAGGGAAATTGGGATAATTATGCCAATATTACTTATTCATAATTGTAATAACAGTAATAATAATAATAATAGTAGTAGTAGTAAGATGAGAAGAGCACCAATGATAGAAAGATAAATGGAAAGCTAATCATTACCCTTTGAACAAAAACAATAACGTGTGATTGCACATTATAGATGTTTTGTGCATCACATTTGTAGAGTCTATAGAATATAATATAAAATATATGCTTCTTATTCTATTGCCCATGATAAGCTATAAGATTGGATAGATTAATGCTTCAACAGTGATTGAAAGAGTTCTGTTTCTTTAGTCAGAAGGAATAAGGAGAGAACTGGATAACAGGTTAGTTATATTGTTGTAAGTTTATATAATCACCTCGTTTTAAGTCATTATATATATATATATATATATATATATATATATATGAAATTCGGTGAAAGTGAGCTGAACAAATGTTCCCAACACACACTACGCGTTTTCCATTTTATGGTGTCTATGACAGATATTTTGCTCAGGGAATCAGTGATAAATTTTAGGCAGAGTTTGTGTGATTTTTCAACCTACGCAATATGACCGAAACATATACTTATATATATGTGTGTATATATGTGTTTGTGAGAGAAAGAGAGAGACAGAGAGTGTTCGGCTATTCATATGTGTAAATGTCTTGTGTTTAAACCGGATGATAAATACTACATGTGTCTACTACATGTGTGTAGAAGAGGAAACATACAACCTCTACCCCTCCTCCTCCTCCTCCTGAAGAGTAATATTATTATTATTAATTATTCGCAAAATTAATTATTCATCATAAGACCATCATTGTTTTTTATCGACATGTTCATCAACATTGTCATATTCTTCATCCTCTTCTGGAAGTTCTTCTGGAGATGTTGAACGTAGATTACCCGAGGTACTGATAGAACCGCCTCTATTCATTGTTGTACTCTGACGTCTAGCTGCTAATACTAATGGATGTTGCATGCCATCTGTATTAATTTGACTAAGTGTAAAACGTCTAACACGTCCCATCCATTCATCTGTACGTTTATCTAGATGGGGTTCACGCGAAGACTATTTTTGTTTAAAAATATTTTCAATGAGGCGTAAGGCGGGAGTCGAGGGCAAGTATATATGTACGTACGTATGCATATTCATATGCATTGTCAACAAGCATACCATTCCCAGGTGGATCAATACATGCAGGATATTTCAAGCAGACACAAATAAAGGATTATCACACATTTTGAGGGATTAAAAATAAATGGGGATAGATAATCATGCAGGGTTTTTGTTGATTTGGGAAATGTGTGGGTGTGCGTAAATGCATACGCAGTTGTGCAATTAAGCAAAACGCACAACGAGAAAAAATATACGGGGAAAGATATTGAACGACATACGGGAAGGACATAGGCAGGTAATGTGCAATAAAAATTTGTTTGTTTATTTGGATTTTTTACAAGAAAACGCACGTAAAAAAGGATCGAGGGGTGGGGCGGGATCACCGGGTTGATTTTAAAAGAAATAAAATCATTAATAACCAAAAGGAGGTTGAGGGATAAACGAAAAAGGTATACGGTGACATTCATTCATAAATAATAGAGAAGTTCCGGTTGCAGGAGGTAAGGAGGGGGTCGAGGTGGGGGAGGGAGGGTAGGGGATAGGAAATGAATCAAGCCAGTACGCATTATTATTATTGTTATATGTGATGGGAATATAAATAAAGTTTCCGTTTTTAATACGTTGTTATTATTGGGGTTAGGGTTTTCGAAATGATAATAATAATAATAGTAGTAATCAATGTAGCAGGATACAGTACAGATTGGATTGACGAACAACAAAATAATGCAAGGGATGATGAATGGATGTTACATACACATACCAATTTCCCAGGGATGAACAACAATCATTTAGGGTAAATTAATTAAGGATAGGTTGTTGGGTATATTCAACATTACACATTGACAAAAGCAATCGGGGTATAAATATATATATAAATGTATGTAAACATACACCCATAGTTACAAAAAAGGGTTGTGGTTTTTTTATTATTGTCAAACATGATCACGTGAATTGTGTGCGATTCGAACCACATAGAGATGTTAAAAAAAAAGACAAAGAAAGAAAGGATAGGAAAAAGAAAACATCTGTCAAGTTATACGCTTAGCCAAAATAACAACAACAACAAAAAAAAGAAACAAACAACTCAAAAATTTACATCTCGATTACAATAATAAATCGACATTATTGATGGATGGTACAATGAATGAATTACTGTATTATTATTAAATCTAGCTAGCTACTGTCACTCATACTAATTTCTATATAACACAAATGATGAACAATAATTAATCTTAGACATTGTTAGTTGTACAATCAGATGAATAGATGAACTAATACTACTTGTGATTCAATCAAATGTTATATGATTTGATGAATGAACAGGCATCATCTATTAGAGATTATTATTATTATTATTGTTAAGTGGTGTTGGGGTGATTGAAATGATGCCTATGTTGTACAGTAGATACTACTGGACAACATGATTAAAAACAAATCAAAAGGATGGGTGGTAGTTACTCTTGGCAAAAAGTGAGAAAAAAATCTATCCCCTATCAGATGATCGTTTTTAGTCTTTTACGGGTCACTATTGATACCTATCTCGCTCAATATGTTTTCATTACCAGCTAAAGTATATGAAACGAGTTGTAGAGATGAAGTCAATTAGTTAAACCAATCACGCTCAGAGAAAACAAATAAAAACGGCACTTCAACAAGCACACATACACACTCATCTAAGCTATATATCTTCTCTATCAGTTGAGCAGTTTAGCCGTCTTCTGGTTAACAGGCATGTTTTTTTATTCCTTCACGTTCCCAGTGGAACATAGGGCTTTAAGCTATAGGCTTGAAGTTTCTGTAGCAGCGTTTATTTTACAGGATGGGGTTGCTACCCTCATGCCCAACCTTCCCTCTTTGTCAGTTCTATTACTGGCTTAGCGAGGTAAGGGAGTGCGTCGGCCGGGGATCGAACCCCGGACCATGTGCATGGTCGGCGAGCGTCCTAACCGCTGTGCCACCAACGCACAGGCAAGTTAATAAGTAGAAATTAATATTTCTTTTATTCCTTTGTCTTCTAAGTGAAGCATAAGGCTTCAGTCTTGCAGTTTCGGTAGTGATTGGGATGTTGTTGCTAAGGCATGGGGGTGGCTAGCCCAACGTTCAACCTTTTTTCTTTTTCAGGCTTACTATATACTAGTAATGAGTGCACCGGTCGGGAATCGGACTCCGGACTACATTTGACAGGTTGGCTAGCAATCTACCAGTGAACCACCGGCGTAAAGGAGCAAATTTTATTTATTTATTTGTGTTATTACTTTACGTCCCCAGTGGAACATAGGGCTCCAAGCTAGAGCTCTGAAGTTGCGGTAGCAGTGGTGTTTATTTTTACGGGATGGGGTTGACAGCCTCATGACCAACCTTCCCTCTTTACCAGTCTCATTACTGGCTTAGCGAGGTAGAGGAGTGCGTCGGATGGGGATCGAACCCTGAACCACATGCGTGGTTGGTGAGCATTTTACCGCTGTGCCACGGACGCCCAAATTACAGCGGTTTAAAAATGATGAAGAATCAATCTTGTAGTCAAATATCTAATTAATAATCCTGTTGTTTTTTTTAAAAAGAATACAGCACCTCTATTTTAAATCGACTGATTCACATATCACGCTTTGATTTCTGATTCTTGAATCGAACTGTTGCATTCAAATCGGAGAATGAATAACTTTCTAAAATTCTTTGATAGGTAGGAGGTGCCAAGGGAGGAAAAAAAGGTTCTGAATTTTGATTTCAATTATTTATTTGTTCTCTAAAGATAATGTGGTGGTTCATAGTTATGCTTTTTCCAGGATAGTTAGTTTTTTCCTTCATATTCAGCTTTTCATCCTAACAGAGTAGTGATATAGAATTTATTCAGATACACATCAATAACTTTCTTCAAGTTAGTCAGCACTGCTACTAATAGTGACTACATCTTTAAGAATTTTTATTTCAGAGTAGCCTTGTTAATAATAATTTTTTTCGCCGACTTTTACTATTTACTGTTACATTACAGTTTTCTCTGTGCATTTGTTTGTATCAAGCAGTAAGATTATTTTGTTTTCACCAGTAATAATTCACACAATACGCAGCTGGTCAACTTCTTGTGTTATGTTATTCAAATGGAGAAAATTAATGCAGCATTGGCTTATATTATTTAATAACAACTGTGTTCTTCGGAGCTATTTCAAAATTACTATTGTTATTAAATCATATTCAGGTTATATCGTGAACGGACATCACTTGGACTTGAGACTCCTTAGTAGTAGTCGCCAATGAATCTATCAGGAATTAAAACCAGGACCTTCAGGTTACGAGGCCAGCCTGTTAAAAACTCAGCCTCTGGAATGGAATCGAATGGTATATGAGCTTTAACTTCTGTCAGTATGTGGCTCATAGTACCATCGCAACCAATTTCATCCCTACACCCGATTTAGTGAACTCCACTGATTACCAGCGCTAGCTAGAACTTCAGACAATTTCCTCCTGTTACTAGTGAGGATGAGATCACAAAGTGATATCAATTACACAACCATTGAAAACAAAAGGGTGTACTGAATCGCTGTTTTATACTGACTTGGGACTCTTCAATAGTAGGCAGCCATGACACCACCGGGGATCTGACAGAGGATCTTTAGGTCACGAGGAGAGTCTGTTGACTAGTCATCCACTGGGATATAATTTGCGGGCTCATGAATTCTAGATTCTGAAGGATTTCTTTTATTTATCAGTTTCCAAAACACAAACAAATCACATATACTTTTAAACCAATCAATCATCATACAGGAAACAACATAAATTACATCAAATCTGTATAGACTACTAACAAAAACTTGCACATTTATCTGAAAGGCAAACACACAGGTAGGCATAATTTCATATTACATATATATTCACTACAAATCTACAGCAATATTTATTTCCATATCGCTCAAACTACTAATTTTATTTCAGTAATTAGCTAGAAAAATAGCTATGATCAGCTGAACAAGTGATCATTGTTAGTTGAATTTAAGGGATCTTTGTTAATTTTATGCTGAAATATTCTTATACTTCTTTGAACAATATTATTCTCTTATATTTGCTAATCATGATAATCTATACAGACTTATACAGACGAATTACAGCTTAAAGTGAACTGTCATTTGAAGTGACGACAACTGGCTATTTCTGTTTGGGATGTTCACTCCCATGACTGTTATTTATAGGGTATTCTGATACAGGTAGATCTATTCAAATTATATTTCACAGGAATTCAGTCACGACCAGAAGTGAAGGTTTAAGGTATGGAACTTACAAATATATTTCTCTTAAGGAAGACAATGAAAAAGCCCCTCTTCCTTTGAATGCGTTAAGCACTTGTTATTATTATTCCCTTCGGTTCCTAGTGGAACACAGGGCTTTAACAGCACATCTGCATTTTATCCTTTACTCTGAAGTCCTCTTCATCCGGCCCCACGATTGTCCATAGACTTTCATCTCCTCCTAAATGTCACCTTCGGATGTACACTCAACTTGTCTCTTTCCATTCGAGACGCACTCCATAGCCAGCACTCTCCGTGACGTTACTCAGCGACTTCAGCATGTGTCTGATCCATCTCCACTTTCTTCTACATATTTGTAGGCCGATAGGCTCTTGATTGGTTCGTCCTCAAAGATTTTTGTTGCTAATTGAGTATGTATGTATCGAAGAGAGCTGTTGATAAGCGCCTGTAGCCTACTGAAAATGCTTTTCATGACGAAGCAAGTCTGCCATTGATGTCGAAGATCTGGATCTTATTCTTTATGCTGAGTTCAGAAGATATCCAAACTGATTTCAGAGTGATATATGTCTATGGAGGAAGTAACCTCTTTCAAATTTCTTCCATTGAGAGTGAATGGTGCTTGTTGTTGTTGCTGATTGGTTAAAGCATTTGGTATGAATCTGTTTTATTTCAAATGTAAGATACTGTTACAGGAATGGTATGCATAACCTCCTT